ACTCCACCCAGCAATCCCCTGTGCTGACCGTTGGTTCCAAAGTTCTCACTGTACCCGGAGGGAACTCGAAGACTCTCGCACCAGCTAGCCACCAACGGTGGCTCTCAAACCACGAATTTTCACAATCAACAGTGTGAGCTGTTGACGGCTCGCAGACAGTGGAACCATCCTGTTGAGGCCTGTCGGCAAGGCAAGTGCGGAATGCCCGCCTCCAGAAAGCAGCAGTCCCGCAAGCATCGGTTTGGGTGCGCTGCATCCGGCTCTGTCCGAGCCGATTGCTGGGGCATTGAGTTGTGCCCTCTCTTGTCACGGAGCGACACTATTCGGGCACGACAAAGTACGGGAACATACGAGTCAAGCGCTCGACAGCCTGTAGAGGACAGCAGGCAAGAGAACGCAGGGAGCAGTTGCTTTAGTGCCAAAATGCTTGCAACCGCAGCTAACTCTACTCATGGTATTGGCCTGCTGTGGCTCCAGACTCGAGCTAAGGCGCGCGTCCAGACTCTTGATGAGTGACAGACCGCGATAGCTGTGGTCAGAGAGGCTTGTCTTCATCCAAGACCAGGGTCCATGTCCGGGATCATATGTAGCCAGGGTGGCCACCTCATATCGGGACAAATGGCAAAAGCATTCTCTTCAGCACAGACTCCCCATTTGCCTTCCTGGCATCTTGGGGAGCCTCTTAAAGGCAGTGGAATTTCAAGAAAGCCCCTCTTCCAATTCCACGCCTCTGCTCGAATGAGCCTGATACCCGACAACACTGACATGCTGCAGACGCGGAACCCCTGCAAAAGCCCCTTCAGGGACGATTTCCTCTGGGTTCATGGGGACATGAACAGCAAGTGGAACATGATGGATGGGGCGTCCTTCGAGTTGTTTCTGCGATGGCAGGATTACACTGCCATCTGGTGCATCCCATGCCTTCAGATTGGGTCTAGGTGTATGTCTGCGTGGCAGTTTGCAGGAAGTCGATGGAGCACCCAAACACTTCAAGGTCAGTGACTGAGGCCAGATAGTCCATAACCTGGTCCTCTAGGTCCTCAAATCGATCAAACTTTGCCACACTGAGAGAGACTTTGTCAGTACCAAGGAGCAGTCCATGACCGGCTCCATTTCAGGGGGAGTGCTGAGCCTGAATGAGTCGTCGAGCTCCAGGTGTGGCAGACTCTTTCATTTACTGTTTGAGCCAAAAGCTTGGCTGTTCCTAGAGCTCTGTAGCCTTTTGGCTCAAGGCATATCGGCTCAAAGCTCTCAGTAATAATCTGTTGAGTTAAGGAGGTTCAAGACTACTTCTTAAAGAGAAGAAGTTGTCTCCGGGCCCGTACGCGTAGTTAGGATTTTTGCACTTAGGATCTGTGCTTTCGCTCTTCACTTACTTGCTTTGCGCGGTGTCCTTAGACACTGCACAATTTCAAGTGGTGTCCTTAGACACCATTCGATTGCAACTTTTTGTCCGCTTTCCCTTACAAGCACACTCAAAGGGTGTCCTTAGACACCTTTTGAGCTTCGTTATAGGCTCTGTCTCTGTTCCTTTCTCCACCATCTGACTGTTCTTCCCTCCCTTGAACGATGACCTGGGCACCATGCCCACACCGCGTCCGTACTCGTGGAAAAAAATTCGTTATAGGCTCTGTCTACGCTCGTCGGTCTTGAAGAATGACTTCTAAGAAAGTCTCTTGCACGATTTCTCAATTTATCTATGATGATATTCTTGATTCTTTTGAGGCGAAAGGAGTTTTTTCACAACTCGGTGGACCCTCTTTAGCTGCCTCACCGCGCATCCTTTTTC